CAAAATCTCCGCTTTAATCACCTCGTTAAAAGGCTTAGTTCCACTACCACAAGAACGTCTGCTTTTCTTTCTACACTCACACCCCCTGGACTTCCTTCTCGAAGGTAGAGAGACGGAGCGACTGAACCTGCAAAGGATATTTTATATCATTTTTTCTCATATCCTTGTTTTCTGCTGCGCTACACCCTCTCCCTCCTATCTGCACCACGATGCCACTGACGTTACTGACCCCCACGAGTACGACCCCCATGACCCACCCTGACAAATACGACCCCCTGTCGAGGATTTCCTCGACCGATATTCACCCTGCTCTCCACCAATAGCACTGTGCAAGTGTATGTACACACAGAACAATTTATTGAAGAGGTAATAGCAAGACACTGATTTCTCCGTATCAATTATCACAACAAAGGCATACATTTACATGATAGGTACACAATAGATGATATATACATGCTGTCGAATGGCTTCGTTACTTTCCCCAGCCTGGAAATGATGACTTAAGCAGTTTTTTTAGTTTTTCTTTCAATGTTGCGGCAAGAAGGCAGAGTTAGTTTGAGACATTGTTAGAGGAAGAGCGACAGCGTTGGAATATAAAAATGCCTCTCATCTTCCAAATGATGTCCTCAAACTAATGCCGCCTCGCAGCCATCGCAATCATTGCCGTTTAACTTTATATATTAATCGCCTTTTTTAATTTTACACACAAATGCATGGGCGCGAAGCTCACCTCCGTATGCCTGATATGGATGGAAGCCACCGTAGTAACCTGGACCGATGAAGCCTCGATTGTATCCTGGCCAGCCGCCTCCCCAACCTCTACCCCAGTATGGTCGTCGACGCCAATGCTCATGTGAAAATGAAGACGATGACCATTTCCATCTTCCCCCTTGAAATTGTAAAAATATAATTGACCAAAAATTGTTTCAGTGCGAAATCATTCGCCAGCTCCCCGAATTCACCGGAGAGGATTTCACTCACATCTTTGTCCTGATATCGTTCAGGACTATTGATAATAACAGAATAACAGCGAAGATAATATTCATCTGAAAAAAGTGATAAAAATTGCATACGAAGCAGACACGAATCAGTGAAAAACAAGCAGACAGCAGAGATTTTCATCCGATCTTTTTATAGCAGATCTGTCGCCTTGTAGTGATTCGGCGAATCGACAGTGTAGGAACAGGTTTGATAGCTATGCGATTATCAGTTCTCAGCAGCATAAGAATGATGTCAGGAAATGTGACCTAGAAATGTTTTCTTCTTTTCGGCAAATCACTACGACCAATGACCTTAGCCACCAGCTGGGCAGTTCCACACAATGCCATTGTGAGCGGCCGAAAGTTACAGAACGAAAAGTGGCTTGTTACATTGCATTTCATTCATATGAACCGCTAGTTTAGAACCACGCAAATGGTAGTTTTACAAAAAGCTGTCCCTCTAGGAGCACCAATTTGGACCAAGATTGAGTGTCTCTCAGTGCAGGTAGAGCAGAGCGCATGAGGCGGGGTAGGAGGTGTATTTCGAAAAGGTGTGGGAAGGGTTAAGCAACCTCCTGAAGAAAAACGAAAGCGTTGGAACTTTTCATGAAATTTTGGGAAATCTAGTCGAAATTTTTGGATATATTCAACTTTTTTCTTTGACTACAGTATGCAAGCTGGGCTAAAATTATGGAAACAAGGCATTTTATTACTGTTATAAAACGATATTAGCCTAAGTGGTGGCCATACTACAAAGGATCACAGGGCAAAACTAGGTTAGTTTTGAAATCTGTTACCATTGCATTAATACAGGCCTTCAGATGAAGAGAGAAAACACGCATGGTGCCACGCAGATGAGAAGCGTCAAAATGATTCAAAATTTTTTGTTTTGTCCTGTTCAGGAAATCACAGTTTTTCAAGTTGGAGCTTGCTATTGTTTTCAGCTTGAAACGTAGAGAATCTAGCTCAATGGTGGATGTGCTTATTAGGTACCGGATATCTTAGTGTCGCTTTTCTGAGTTCAGGAAGTTTTGGGGCCGATTACTATGGAAAATCAATATCTCAGAAAGTCCTTTTTGCTCATTAATACTGCGAAATATGTTGCTTATTGTTTTCTATTGTTGGTTCACAATTTAACTTTCCCCCAATTTTTATACTTTTTTGAAAATTCCCTGGGTCCAGTGTGCAAATTCGCATGTGTGTACCAAATGCTTCAAAATTCTTGCTGAGAGCTACAACTTCCGCCCACCAAACCAACATTGCATTTGTTGGAGGGAATACTACCATTTAAAATGCTCATCGGTTTTTCACAGTTTTCTCAAAAGACAGTGAAGTCTTTGAAGTGATGCCCGCAATCGTCGTCAAAAAGGTGGCCCTAGTTAAAATCAGTCGAGACGGGGCTGCACCAGTCTTGTGCTGAAATGGTAGGACACCTTAGCAGTGACTGATCGATGATGCACAAACGCTTTAACGAAGTTGATTGCACAAGAAATTCTAATAAATGTGCTCATCTGCTACTCACGTGTGCTCAAAAAGGGTGCGTTTTTGACCCTATGTGGCAAAAAAGACTCCGGGAAAAATTGTCCAGTTGAGCTGGTAAGTTAATAAATTTTCCACCATACAGTGCAGACCCTACTCTAACTAAACTGTATACATATTTTGTCCAGGCCCAACTGTTTAGCAAGTGAGAGGGATGATTTGTCAGATGATGTCAAATTCGACCTACCTCTCTTTTTCGTCTCAAAAAATTCCTAACTTTAATCGTACGAGGTTTTCACTCATACTGGTAAATGGGAAAGGGCTAATGAGTCATTCGATGGATATGCCGTTTCACTCACTGGATTTTGAATTAAAATATTGGTGGTCCGAAACTCGCGGTGAAAAAACGACACTAAGATATCCGGTACCTAATACAATTAGAAGGTGAGCCTTTCAGGTCAAGCCGCATTTTTCGCAACGATTCTTGTATACATATTGTAGGGACGCATGTGTGGACCACAACATCGTGTTTCATTTTCGCTGAACCAGCTTTGTAGAACTAAAAAGTATTGAATGATACCCTCGATGGTTCGATTCCCGTGGCGATGCTAATTTGCATTCAAGATTTTGACGACTAGTGTTGCTTCAGTTCAGTCTAGAAATGAACATCCATGTAGAATGAGATTTTGAAATTTTTAACTTTCCGACTCTTATTGTTAGCAAAACATGCAGTTTGCACTGCCAATCAGCTCGATGGTTCTCCATGGCAATACGTCCCGGTGTGTCGCGAAATTTACGACCAACACATTTCGAAGAAGGATTTCACGAAGAGGGCGAAGGTTGAAGAAGGAGAACCTACTCAAGACGTTGACGACAGGCTGACGCGTCAGAACTATGTCACTTATTTTCTTTAAAATCCTTCTATTTTATAAAGCGCTAACTTTGTGTGTCGGTTTGTGTATCTGTATGTGTGTGTGTGTGTGTGTGTATGTATGTGTGTCCGTCCGCAAAATGAAGTGAGTGAGAAGGAAGCTCATGGGATAAACAAACCGCTAACAAATCGGGTAGCTTACAGGATTTGAGATATCAATGTTTTGTAGCAGGATAGTTGTGATAACACTCTTAGGGCTATATAAACACCTGCTTAGCACACTTCCGTTCATTCCACATGGTGCTGCAGTGGCAGCTGGAGGGCAGTGGAGAGAGGAAGGGAGGATGAGGAAGGGAAGCGAAAAATCTACCGTCATATCATGATTGTGTCCCTTCTACTGTTTGAAACACCATTGTGTTGCATACGCGTCACTTCCACGAGGTGTTGGTGTCACAGGAGGAAGGGACCATAGCGGAGGATAGAAAGCTTGCGCAGGAAAGGAAGGTCCCGGCGGTTGACGGGGGACTAATCTGGTATAGATAATACATTAGCATAACTATAAACCACATGGCAGCCAGAGTTCAAATATCCCTTGATTTAGCAAAGATTTTCTGAACGCGCACAAAACTTTCATTTCAATTCTTTCCTAGTATTCCTTTCACTGTCGTAAACATTCGTATGAAAAGATTGTAGAAGCAGTCGAGTGAAGCTCTGAGTCCAAAGATATTTGTATTTCGATGGAAGAACTTCAGGTATAAATGCTTTTAACTTCATTCGCAGCGAAAGTGATGTTTTTTTGCTTCTTCGTGGTCATTATGCGTTCTTCTGAACAAAAAATCTACTGCCATTTATATAGTTAACCTTTATGCTTTCATCCTTGCCGAAATAATTCTATGAGATTCAAGTTGTTGTGCATTTCACACAACACAAAAATAGTTAGATGAGGCGCGCGCTCGGCAAAACTGTCGCGCTGCCCACGCGGGCAAAAACGCCAAAACACGCGATGTCGTCATCGTGTTAGCGGAGAGTGAGGCGGACCTTCAAAGGTAGCGAATGTCTGTACCTTTAGCTCTGTTACGGCCTTTGCAGTGACAGTGGAACTTCGACTCCTGTATATGGTTTGATGCTCGGATGCTTACAGTGAAATTGAAGGGATAACAACCGATAATGGTTAATAAAGAAAGGTTGAATGTAAGTACTATGAGTTCCATTGCAGCCCTCGCGATGAAAGTACCATGGCTCTCATATTTGTTGCATGAGGGAGCCTCGGACTGGGACACTGATAATCTGCAATAGATTTATATGTTTTCCTTTTCATTGCACTAACACCACTCATCAAGGCTGATCGGAATTCCACCACTATACCCCCGAGTAGGTGCTACGCATCGAATAGTGCCGATATGTTCTGTGGCGTCCGTGTTTTACATAGCTCTCACTAGAAATTTACAGACACGAGGTCAGGCGCCTACGCTCGCAAAATCGTACTTGTTCCATGTGGTCAAAAAAGGGCAAAATGCTCGCTGTAGTCAATGTGATAAACGGAAAGGATTTCGTTACTATAAATAATATTTTTATTGTATTCAATATGGTTTGAACGGCTAAAGTTAGCTCATGACTGCGTAGAACCTTGATGCACGCTTGAAAAATAGTGGCTCAATCGCAGTTATCTTCTCAGTAATTGGAGCAGTCTAGAGCAGCGTATGCTACAAAATCGACAGAAGCTCAGCTAAGATTCAGCATTTTCCATACGACTTATTCGCCTCCATCTTAAAATACAGACTGAAGGTCTTCTTAGCTGAGCGCGATTATTTCATTTCACCCACTGAATGATGAACTTAGCAAAATAGACTCCATCGTCAGCGTATCTTGCTAGCATTGTTCCTGCCTATATCCGAAGCCCCTTCCTAACATCTAGCTTAAAGGTGGGTCTTGCGATAAGAAGGCAGCCCTTTGGAAATTCGGTTAGATGATCAGTAATGCAAGAAAAAAGAAAGAACTGAGAAAGGCCGCCTAGAATCCGAGAAATGAGACCCCTTCTTTCCCCTGATTGTCCGCATTGGTGCGACTCACATCGATGCTGCCCTCTTCAACGCTAACGCTCTATGCTGAACGGCGGCAAGAAGTCAAGACAGCGAGAGCGAACACACGGTGCCAAAGCGCTGCGGAGAGGGCCGTACCTTGCCGGAGGTATATCTTTCGAAGCGAATCGGTGTCGGTCCGCTCTCTTATAAGGTCCGCCTGTCTCTCCACTAAGTAAGTTTCCTATCTTCGACCTTCGCCTTCATCGTGAATTCCTCCTTGGAGAAGTAATGCAATGGTTGTGATTTCGAGACACACCGGTCATATTGCCATGAAGCACCATCGAAGAGGTTGACGATGCAAACTACTTATTCTGTTGAGATTTAGGCTTGAAAATTTCAAAATCATATTCTACTAAGTGAATACAATTTATGAATCTACAGTGAAACCTATGCAGTTCTAAATAGGAGTTGCATACAGTCGATATCCGAAAGTTGGGGTGGGTGTGTCACCGGAAGTGACGTGCACTTGATAGAAGTTGCGTGGATAAGCTGTTGCCAGCATGCTTTGCTGATATCCAGCGATGTATGTTGGAAGCAGCTTATCCACATAGCTTCTATCAAGTGCACGTCACTTCCGGTGACACGCCCACCCCAACTCGCCGATATCGAGTATACACGATCTTTTACCGTAGTTTGTGGCTATGTGCATAGTGGGATTAT